GAATCCCAAGATTATGTTCAACATTAATTAATCTTGAAAGAAATTTATACGCATTTTATATATCTTTTTATTTGCATTACATTTTTTACATAGATTGAAATTAGGGTCATTGTTAATTGCGCAACATGTTCAATGATGTGTAACACTGATACGTGTACCCAAATAACATGCATGATTGATTTTCTGCCCAAAGGCGATTGAAACCACAGGTGTTTATACCATTTTATTTATACACATTATCGGCCAGGTAAACAAAAGCAAAACAAAAAAGAAATAAATCACAATTCCCGGTATTTTCAACTGTTTATTTTTTTTTTTAATTTACTCTTTTAATAACTTGTTTATAAATTAAAAACTAATTCATCTGTAATTTCCCGCATAATTGTTCACATTGTTTATGTTACGGAAGAAAGGTGGCATAATTTTATTTCATGTCATAAAATAAATTGTTAGAGATTTTATTTGAGGGTTGCATGTAATACTCTTTTAGCGTGGTGCTTGTAAAACGTGTAGCCTTTTCAATTAAAATATCTTATATCTAAATGTAATGATTTTTTAAATAGTGCCAAATGAAAATTTTGAGTATTTAATTTTAGATTTAATAATAAAATAAATCTACATGTAGATATTTTTTTCTCATGAGCCTTTAGTTTAATATATTTTAGAAATAAAAATCTCCTCCTGACTTCCTTATTTAACATCTTTATTTTTAAAAATATTCTATATTACATCTGTGTGAATATACAGTCCCTAAAACTATAAATTAACTATAATACATGTAATCTCAAGTTATTAACAGATAATATAAGAAATCCTTGCTTATTAAATAGTTTAAACTCCTGTCTGCTGCAAGTAAACAAAACAACAGGGAGCCTGCAAATTCAGAATACACAAGGGGCGGAGCTATCATGTTACTCAGAACCTTTGTCACACATGAGTGAACAAAGCAGTCCCAGAAAGCAGTCCCAGGGGTAGCTGGGACTGCTGGGACTGCTTTTCATAGCAGTCCCAGAGCAGTCCCATAGCGGTCCCAGAGCAGTCCCACAGCGGTCCCAGAGCAGTCCCACAGCAGTCCCAGAGCGGTCCCAAAGCAGTCCCGGGGACTGCTTTCTGGGACTGCTTTGGTGTCAGGTTGGGTCTGGTCGGTACTGTACCTTCATCACCTGCATACGGAGTATTTATATCTCAGTTGATTCGATACGCAAGAGCATGCTCTACGTATGAACAATTTCTTAAACGAGGTAAATCATTGCAAGTTGATGAAACAAGAATATCAACAGTCTCGTTTAACGTCATCATTTCGTAAATTCTATGGTCGATACAATGACCTTGTCAGCAAATACAATTTATCATTGAATGAAATGCTGACTGACGTTTTTCATACCAATTGTTAGTCCATTATTTATACACTGAATTGACTACGAATTTTTTTCCGTTATTTCCTGATTATGACAATGAGCACACGGCGGGTGTGACCGGTCAGCAGGGGATGCTCACTCCTCCATGGCACCTGATCCCACCTCTGATGTTTCGGAGGTCCGTGTTTGCTCTGCTCTTGTTTTGTATATTTGTTTAATTGACGTTGAGATTGAATACTGTTCGTTATTTCCATATCCTTATTTAAAAGTTGACATTTGTACCTCATAAAATGAAGTAAAAATTGCACATTTAAAACAATCAATTTTCTTTTAATTTAGCCTTAGTTAACAATGTTTGATGCATGATTTGAAATTATAAGTTATTTACAGTGTTTTCTTTGAAAGGAAACACTCCATACACTATGCATTATGAATCAAGGGAAGTAAGTAGGAGAAAGTAAAGTCTAAATAATTGTAAAATTCATGCAATTTTCTTTAAAAGCCTGGATACCTATGATTTTTATTCCTAAAATACATTTCTTGATTAATTATCAATTCAAAAATATGCAGTAGGTAGTTCAAATCGCATTTCCTGAAAAATTATTCGAGATTTACAAATTTTCCCTATATAATATGATTAAATTTTAAGAGGAATTTTAAAGAAACACCGTGGGTAAATAAATTTTAATTTGAGAATTCAGAGACATCTTTGTGAGCATTTTCAATTACCCAATGCCTGATTTTCAGAACCTGAGGATCGGATAACCTTAACAGATTTATTACTAAAGGGGACAGGCTCCGCTAATAAGCGAACGAGAGCGCTTACCAGCGTGGATGTCTTGGCGAAAGCCAGCCGAAACTAAACAATTCACAATAAAATTCAAATTACATACAATTACATAATATTTACAATAGAATTCTTATTTATCACTCGATTATATTAATTATTTATATTGTCCATAGATAAATGTTTACTCTCGTCTTTGACTCTAAATTCCCTGACACCTGTTATATTTTATCTACCCGGAGATGCTTTGTTCATTGTGCCGGATTAACACATATACATTTATACACTAATTTCCTTGGTCATATGTTTTTAAAATGCGTTTTTTTTTTTAAAATATCCTCTGTTCGTGGGTATTAAATAAACTGACTGAAAACTAAGTTTGGATGAGCAAGAGTGTCCCTTCAAGAATATTGAATTTCATGGCCCAAAAATAAGAATGATACGAGGGCTGTTCAATAAATAATGTCCTCGGTTGTCAGAAAGAAGCAAAAGACACTTTTCATTGATTTATTCTTTCCGATTTTACTGATTAATCTCTTTTTAGTAAAAGACAAGTCCGTAACATTTTTATCCATTTTCTACTCGTTTGTAGAATTCATTTTTTGGTATGACCCTCAGTATACTGGAAAATGGCAGATCCAATCGTTTCCCGAACTTGTTTCTTCCTTCTGAAAGGCATTTTTTCCAAGTTTGTAAATAGAAACAAGTCAAAGGGTCAAAGTTCATGCAAATATTGTTAAAGTGTAAAAACTTTAACTTTCTGTTTATCCCGAAACCCTTTTACTCTTCAGAACATGCGGGTTTGGACGCTGTCTTGAAGAAATTCAATGTAGTGGATTCCTGATTCTGGGTCCTTCATCTAATAAACCTTTTGATTTTTTTGGCCAAAAAAGTGCTTTCTAGACTCCTTCAGAAATTAAACTGTCTCTCCGAATACGATTTTGAACAACATTACCACTTATTGTTAAGAAAATTACATAAAAATCTGACTTTGTGCTTTTGTATAACTGTGCACTTTTCAGACACTCGCCGTTTTTATCAAGTACATTTTATGGTATATTTTGTTTTTAGGGTTTAAATCAATAGATTCATGTTCCAATATCTGTTTGAAAATAAAACAAACGTGGATAACTACAATTACTGATATTTTAAAATAATTGTTAAGAATTCCGTACACACTGTCATTTTCATTTATTTTTCAAAATATAGGGTGACCTTTGAGTAACAAGCTTTTTTACCACCAAATGCTTTAAAAATAGTGTAAATTACCCCTGATGTGATGTTTATCAAATTTGCTATGTGTCTTAAAATAAATCAAACATCATCAAATATTATTTGTTGAAATTTGGCAAACAGTACATAATTTGTTAAAAAAAACTTTTGGCAAGGAGGTTAACCATTTTATACAATACAATACATTATACAATTTTTCATCATTGAAATTCACCTGCTTTTTTTTCCTGTAAAACAGGCATTGTTTGCTGTAAATGTCACATATTTCAGTTAATTTGTCTTTGGGATATTTAACAAGTTTAACGGCAGCTTTGATGAAACTTTTATTTTCCCTCTAGTTTACTGATTCCTTACCATTCATTTATTATGCAGTGTCTCGAAAAGTCTTTGTTACCTAGCTTCTCATGATGAAACTATATGATGAAAAGTGGTCACATAAACTGTTATAGATTCACGAAAGATTCAATAATGAGAGAAAGTCAAGTTGAATGTCATATGGTATCTGTAATGAATGTCATATAGTTCAGGACATTATTTATTGAACAGCCCTCGTATGTGGCTAGGTTGGGGCTTTTTTGATGATATACTGTAAAATCACATATTTTCGTGGGGTCAAATTTTCGTGGTTTAAGGAAAATTTCTTGGTTCGTGGGGATTTGATTTCGTGGATCAAGAATTAATGAGTACTTATGTGTGTGAAAGTTTACATTTCGTTGTGGACATGAATTCGTGGGTCTTGTCATACCACGAAAACAACGAAAATTAGCCCCCCACGAAAATTTTTGATTCCACAGTACTAGATAAGTGGTAAAAAATTAATTCTTTGAAATCTTTGTCTCTGCTCCTGGGTTTTAAGAAACTAACTTTGTACGGAAGTATGATCAGCAAGAGTGTCTTTTTCAAAATTTGTGAAATTTATTTCCCCATGGACAAGGTTCTGTTTCAGGGCACTGTTCTAATCAATTTATAAGGAAAATCTATTAAATAATAAAAATTTATTGCTCATAGTTTCATAGTTATTATGATAAATGAAAGACAGATAAGTTGCAGACTAATTCTTCTGTTGGTCATGATTAAATTATTTCTTTTTCTTTTGGGCAACTAAGGTTTATTTATCCGTGGATAGATCCTTATAATTGTTGTTCTTATGTTACCGTTAAGGCCATTGTGCCTCTGAGTTTTTATGTGTTATAGAATTGGAAACGCAAAGCTGTATACATGTACCAACATTGTAGTAAGCGATTTTACAAAATGATTTTGTGTCAATTTACGGATCTATATAAAGAAAGTATGCATTCTCTTGTATATGTATACAATGTACATGAAGTTCAGATAAATTGTATTTGTATTATTACATCTAAATCCATTTATTTTTTCATTTATCTAATAATTTCATGTATAAAAACATTATAATGTATTCTCATCCTTAGTTTTTTTTTCTTGCACGTTGAACAGTTAAAGTTTAATTTCTTGAACTCTAAGATGCAGTAACTTCTGCTTTGTTTATTATAATTTTTTTAAAAGTTGTAAACAAACATTCAGCACATACTTATTCAGCTATGTTTATCTCTTTTTATTTAGTAAAGATACCAGAAGAAGTACTTGAATGGGATATCGATGCTAGAGAAAGGTTTGTGAAAAATTTAAAGCACGGAAGCGTGAAGATGTTTCGCGCCAGAGGAATGATAGTTGGATGTGCGGGCGCAGGAAAAACAACTCTTCTTAGAACTCTTCACGAAAGGGCGAGAAAACATAACGATACTGCCAGTGCAGAGAAAAGAACTCTTCTTAGAAAGTTTGGAAGAAGACAGAAAACTGAAAAGGATAGTGCAGGGTCAGAAAACGCGTTTCTTCTGACACAGCGTCAAGATGCAGAAGGCATGAATGAAGATAAACCAACTGAATCAACCGTAGGTCTTGAGGTCCATGAAGATATGTTTGTTATTGAAGACAACAAGTTAAAAGGTTACTCTTTGTTCTTCACAGATATGTGCATTTTTAGTTGATACAAGTAAACTTATTAAAGTTACACTATTTTAAAGTTAATATTTTCCCTACAATATTACGACTGAAAGTGCAAGTATGTGTCAATCAAACCCGCCAAAAAAAAAAAAAACAACAACAAAAACTTACTTTTGAACAACTTTTAAATGAAATAAGATTTTCATTTAATTTTAGTGGGAAATGCTATTAAACTATATAAGTCGTATTATTATAGAGAAAATATTAACTTCAAATCTGTATCAAAGTACCTTTATAAAGAGTGATATCTTCTGAGATACAATAAAACTCTGTTATATATGTAGCAAAACCCTGGAGAATCTCTTAATTTACTAAATGAGAAATTCTTGATATCCGTGCAATGAGCAATATAAATAAAGAAAATTAGAAATAATCCAAATTTCCTCCAAAGATAATTACGAGATATGTAGAAATAAAATCAAATATAACTAACATGGATAGCAAAATGTTTGTTTAAACAACATCTTAAAAGTTAATACTTAAGAATAATAAATGTCAGTTCAATTATTTAATTGATTTATAACCTAAATATTACACAGAATAAGTATGCTTTACCCGTTAATTCGTTATACGAGAATTCCTTAAACTAAGACATTTTACAAAGCATTGCGAAGGATTTTGTCAGGGATCCAAGACTTCTTCATTTCTATAGATTGCCCCCTCCCCCCCCCCCGCATTCGCCAAAGGCCAAAAATGTGAAAACATTAAATCTCATTCGACTGCGGTCAATCTCTCAGTCCGTCACTAAAAAACTTTAAACTTGCCCAAAACATTTGATTTGATCCGTCGTCAATTCAGTGTATAAATAATGTACTAACAATTGGCATGTAAAACGTCTGTCAGCATTTGATTCAATAATAAATTGTATTTGCTGACAAGGTCATTGTATCGACCATAGAACTAACGAAATGATGACTTTAAATTAGACTGTAGATATTCTTGTTTCATCAACTTCTTTGTCAATAATTTACCTCGTTTAAGAAATTGTTCATACGTAGAGCATGTTCTTGAAAATTTCGGTACTTATAAATAACTATAACCTTGACATTAACTTTTGAACGGTAAGGGCCGTGGCTTTCGTACTTCACATATGTAATTCATTTGAAAAGACCTTTCATTTGATACCAAAAACATTGACCTTTCTATCTTGACCTTGGAGGTTTAACTATTTTTAAAAAAAATAACCTTGGTCACAACTTTTCGACGGTACATACTAGGATTTTCATATTTCAGATTTGGATTCTTTGTGGCAAGACCTTTCATTGGATACCAACAACTTTGACCTTTGACCTTTACCTTGAAGATTTCCGTACTTATGTAAAAGCTTTAACCTTGACCATAATTTTTTAACGGTAAGGGCTAGGGCTTACGTACTTCACATATGTAACTCTTGTGTGAAGACTTTTCATACCAAAAATTTGACCCTCTGATCTTGAGTTGACTTAATTTTAAAATACTTTAATCTTGGTCATAACTTTTGAACGGATAGGGTTCAGGTTTTAATATTTCACATATGTATTACATGTACTTGTGACAAAACTTTTCTTAAGAAACCAACAATACAGACCCTTTCACCTTGGAGTTTTACGTATCTTTCAAAAAGTCATCCTCGACTATAACTTTTGAACAGGTGGTGCTTGAGAATTTGTATTTAACCACCGTATGTCTTGTGAGAAGAACCCTACTTTGGGTAATAATATATTTAATTTGCATTTTAGATAAGTTAATCTTCGTTATGTTGCCATACGGGGTCATCAGTGTTTCACAAACACATCTTGTTCCTTATATTTAGAAGAGATAGGGATTTCTTATTTGACATGTGCATTACCTGTGACATGATAATTCCGAGCATGCTATTCTTTCTTACCCCTTGACATTGACCTTCACGATTGACTTTATTTAAAAAAAAAAAAACATTTTCAATGACAATTCTTAATAAATGACATATGATAGGGTGTTCATATTAGACACAATATGTCATAAAAAATAACATCTCATCCACAAAGACACCGAAAACAGGGGACCACAATTCTTTGAATTTGCAAGTCTGTCTTAGTTCTAAACGGATTTTACTGTGCACTAGTGGACGCATAGGGATGGCAATTTCTTTTTTCGTTGATGTTTTTGATATTTGAATGTTCAATATTGGTAAATATATGGTGACTTCATTGAAAATATGTTTAGCGTGTTAAGCATTATATTACTAGAGGTGTCTGCAAAGAGGAGATAACTTTATTGAATCTAATGTACAGCTGTAGGTCTGCGTTTGCTTTCCTCTTTTTGATATCGCATACCTACCTCCGTATGCATGACTATTCTACTTTAATTTGTTGATATCCTTTAATCTTGACTTTCAATATTGTACTGCTTACCAACTGTACAGCCCTAAACTTACCTTCGGGGAGCATGTAACTTTACAGTTTCGAATGCAATATGCATGCGATTAACAGGGCTCAAAATTCCCACTGAATCGGTAAAGCCAGTAAATTCGTCGTTCTTACAAAAATTACTGATTGTAAAGTATACGTATATATCTTTTTATACGTTTTACACGTTAATCCAGTAGTTTTGAAAGCAAGCGTAGATGACAGAAATCAGCGAATAAAACAGATATTTACTTCGTTACTACGTTCTACTAACGATTAAAACCCGATCAACGTCACTTAATACTATTCTGATTAATAAACTTTGAAAGCTTAAAAAAAACAAATTATGCAACCAGAGAGTCGTGACTTTGTCATGAAGTTTTCCAAAACTTTCAAAGAGACATTTCATGTATGAACAGTGTACTTAGTTTATGAGTTTCCTTGTTATTCTAAACTGTTTTTACTCTTTTACGTCCTCTATCAGATTTTTGTCCCAAGGAAGCAAATAGTGAAAACCAATATCTTGACAACAAATTGATAAGTATGACGGACTTTGCCGGACAAGTGGCGTACTACGCATGTCACCAGGTTTACCTTTCAAGGAGGGCGTTCTACATCGTGGTGGTCGACATGTCCAAGAATCTGAATGAAATATGTCGACTCTATGACACAGATCGTCACAACCCAGCAGGTTCCTTATTTCACTCCTGGACTTACGGAGGTGAATATCAATATACATTTGTAGTGACGAAATTAAGAAGCTGCGTTGTTGTGTTCATTTTTTAGAATATTTTAATTGATCTCCAGTAGAAGAAGATCTCCAATTCAGTGTATGATTAATTGACTACATGTAGCAATTCCTATCAAAAACGTCCGTCATATTGACGCAATAATAAAAAAAATTGCTATATGTAAAATTTTGAATTAAGCTATTCGTTCATAAGAAATTGATTGATTTTTTGGTATTTATTAATCTCTATTATTTTTTAAAAGACTACTTCCATTTTTGGCTGCAAACAATTAATACATACTGCAGTGATGGAATAACACAAAGGGATCTGAAAGACAGAACAGCCATCAAAGACTCCACAGGGAATGTCAATCATTACCCGGTTATTCTTGTTGGCTCCCATAAAGACAAGCTGGTAAGAAGTATGCACTCAATTATCAACGGCCATAGTTTATATATGCATAAAGTTTTCATATTTTCTACAAAGTAAGATTAGGATAATCATAAACTTTAGGCTATACAATGGACATTAGTCTATTTTCAATGAAAAACATCGCAGTTGAGATTGAGGTTACTATTGATTTTGCATTGTACAATACGAAAATAACTACATTAGACGTGTAATTATATTCAACGAAAAAAAAAGTAGTAAATTAAATTTGAAATTAATACAATACAGTTGAATTAAGATTTTTGCATGCTGGTTGCAAACAGATTTTTAGCTCACCTGAGCTGAAAGCTCACGTGAGCTTTTCTGATCGCATTTTGTCCGGCGTCCGTCTGTCTGTCCGTCTGTCTGTCTGTAAACATTTCACATTTTCGACTAGTTCTCAAGAACCGCTAAGCTAATTTCAACCAAACTTGCCACAAAGTATCCTTGGGTATAAGGGATTCAAGTTTGTTCAAATGAAGGGTCACGCCCTCATTCAAGGGGAGATAATTGGGAATTAATGAAAATTTGGTGGCATATTTTAAAAATCTTCTCAAGAACCACTATGCCAGGAAAGATTAAACTTATGGGGAAACATCCTCAGGTAGTGTACATTCAAGTTTGTTCAAACCATGACCCCCGAAAGGTAGGGTGAGGCCAAGATGGCCGACCAAAGTTTTACATAGAAATATATAGGAAAATTCTTTAAAAATCTTCCTCTCAAGAATGACAAAGCCATATTTCACCATATTTATATGTAAGCATGCTCAGGTAGTGTAGATTCAAGTTTGTTCAAATCATGAACCCCAGTGGGCAGGGCGGGGCCAAAATGGCCGACCTAAGTTTTACATAGAAATATATAGGAAAATTCTTTAAAAATCTTCTTCTCAAGAATGACAAAACCATAATTTATCATACATGTATTTATATGGAAACATGCTCAGAGAGTGTAGATTCAAATTTGTTCAAATCATGACCCCCAGGGGTAGGGCGGGGCCAAAATGGCCGACCAAAGTTTTACATAGAAATATATAGGAAAATTCTTTAAAAATCTTCTTCTCAAGAACCGCTAGGCCAATTTCAATCAAACTTGCCACAAAGTATCCTTGGGTAAAGGGAATTCAAGTTTGTTCAAATGAAGGGCCACGCCCTCATTCAAGAGGAGATAATTGGGAATTAATGAAAAGAGCTAAAGCCACGAACCATGGAAATACGCCTTAACTAAAAAATCAATGAGAATTTCAATAAAGATAGTGTAGACTTGTAGCTTTTCAAAACTGTTTTCCTTTTTTAGATATCTACAATACTTTTTCATGAAGAGATTTGACAGTATTGTATTATTTTGAATGAATTTAGATGAAGAACGTCATAATTTGTAACGTAACATCATAACATCGTAAAAAGCCCTTTGCTATAGAACATTCTACAGTACTGCTTATTTTTGTACACCCGAGCGTTACAATAGTTCTTTTTCTGTACATGTAGTTTTAAAAGTATTTAATACTTTAGACATATGTCACTACATTATATGACATAATTATCATCTGATGTAAATGTAATAAATTCTGAAAAGTTTTCAAATTTTGTGACTGGATAAATATAAAGTGAAGCCCGCGCAGTAATTTGTTGAATCTTTTTCTAAACAATTGCATATATTTAAAAAAAATAGAATTATAAAAGTCATGAAAGTGCAGTACGTGCGTTTTTGTGCATGTGACGAACCCCAATTTATTAGTGCATTTTGACGATGAAATATAAGTTTTGAAGAATTCGTGAAGTTAAAAAAAGGGGTGGGGGTGTAAGTAACATGAATTTGATTTCAAAGATTGTAGCCCTAAATTCGATTTTTTTCTAGTGATATTACCAGGTATATTATAGTCCGCTAGATAATATTGATATAACACATATTTGGATTTAGATTTATTTCTTTCAGGTATTTTCTCCTTTAAGTACATGTAAAATCATACAGTGCATTTATTAAATTATCATTTTTTAATTCTCATGTTCTACATCGCTATCACTTTTATTTTATCTGAAGGGAGGGGGAGGGGTTGACGTAAGACATGCGTTTTAATCCGTTAAGGATTTCAATCCCTAATGGAACCAAATTCTCTACCCTTAAATGTCCGTCAACTACACAATACTCTGATATTATATTAAACCATTTTATAGTGGAAAAGGATTGCCCACGAGAATTTTGTTTTTTAAAGTTTATTAATTAAGCAGTAGTTAATTAACATAGATTGCATTGAAGTCTATGGGGAAAAGCGTTTTTTTTTTCAAAATAAAAATTCAAATAATTTGAATATCAATAAATCCTGTGGTGAAAAGATGCATTGAAATATTAAAAATAGAATGATAATTGAAAACATTTTTTTTTTTTACCAGATAATGTTTTTTATTGATTTTTTTTAAATTAATTAAAAAGGGGAGATAACTCTTGCCAAAATTCAAGGTCATTAATTAGGACACATCCCAATAAACATACTTATAGTAATAAATGGGAAGTATGTCTTAATAAACTGAGTTTTCAATGCCTACATATTTGTTATGTTTTCAATTTCATTGAATTTCTTTCTATTAGGGATTGAAGACCTTAATCTTAAATTATATTATTGTGTACGGCATTAAAAAAAATCTGCGCGTATGTTTATTGTAAGTATTTTAATCAGAAAAAAACTTGTTGCTTGTCTTAAATATTACACTCGTGTGTAAATGAAAATATTTAAAATCGCCATGCACACTCAGCATGGTTAGAATAGTACTACATGTACCTGGAAATGGGACGAATTATATTTCGTCAACTTCCTCTACTTTTTCAGTAGATTTTTTTTTATCGCCGACCGTTTATTTTTTCTCTTCCTGGTCCTTTATCCGTGAAAATCACTACATTGCCACTGTTTTTTTTCTTTGAAGCTAAACCAACCTAATAACCAGTCATAGTGGAGAGAGAGGGGGATCCTAATTCAGTAATATGTCCGATCCATGTTATGTCTGATCACCCTATATGTTATTGAGAAAGCCGGTAGGCAAACCAATTACTACTAAAAGTAAATTAGAGTTCAAAATCCATATTTATTCTGATTCATTTAATGTGTGCAAATCGTGAGTCTGACACCTTTTTTTTAATCAGATAACCTCAGTATTTCCCTGGAAATGCATTAGGTTACAGAATTTCGGACACATTTGACACCTTTTATTTTAGTTGGGTAACCTCGGTATTTACCTCAAGATGCATTCAGATGTTACGGAATTTTGGACACATTTGACCAGTTTCTATAGTAGTTATGAGCTCGAGACGTACTTCGTTTATAGTGTGTACGTGTGCGGATAGATCATTCCAAGTTATTCAATTTCAGAGTTATTAGATTACCAATAGATTTTTCTTTTTTTTTTTTCGTTCGGGAAAAAATCTGCTTCGTAATATTTTTTTTATAAAGGTATGCCCTCCCTGTGGTCTCCCCTTCTGCACAAACTTAAAATAAAGTAATAATTGCCTCTATAAATAAGCTCTTTTCAAAATTATATAATACTTTTAGTTCATGAAATGGTTCTAACACTTCATAAAGGACATCGTCAAATATGTAAGCTGATCCTGTAAATTAGGAAGTCCAAAGAAAAAGCTCTGAGACATCGTAAAAGGTCAATAAAGAAGGGAAAAGCTACGGAGAAAGAGATGGCGAGAGAGAAAGACAGAGAGCAAGCGTTTCAGAGCTTAGAGTTTTTAAATAAAGTTAGCTAACTAACATTTACTGTAATCTTAAATGCACAATATTCATAAATGCCATGTATTTCTTCAATTGAAACAGTGTGTAAACAAATAAAACTATCTACTTTTTATGTATCCTAGAATACACATAGAGTTGCATGAATTTTAGATTTCAACTTCGGATTAGGCAATTTTTTATGCTATATGAAAAAGATTTGAAAGAAATTGCTGTCCTTTAAAAAAAGACTACAATACGTGGACCATATGCATGTGTTTCTAACCGAAATTCAGTCAATTCAAGACAATTTCTAGGTTTAGTGAACATTCATGTAAGTTTGATGACAGTTTCTACTATGATCTGCCTACTCTGACTGACAGTACTTTCATAGCAAAAATTTTAAATGTTATCTCCGATTGGTCTATATAGTTTTGTCATTTTTAAAATTTGGGCTTTATTGATCAAAGGAGGTTTCAGGTCCGGCGCACCGGGCGTCCGCCCCTCCCCCTTCCCCGTTTGAAATTTTTTTAAAATATACGTCCATTTTCCTAACATCAAGGCAAAAACATCTCATATTTGTAAAAAAAAAAATAATGAAAAATAAAAAAAAAATAATTAAAAAAAAGACCTTGGCTTAGACCCATGGGGAGCTACGGTACAGCCACCTGACCTTCGGACTTCCACTGCGCCCCCCCCCCCCCCCCGTTACGAAATTCTTGGATCCGGCACTGTTGAATGATACAGTACCCCATAATGGCTGGGACTTGACATCTGTTCTGGATTTATACGGAAGAAATCTATAATTTGAAAAAATATATCTGATAGTAGACGTGTAGCAAAAGTACACAAATTTTTTCCGCCCCCACTTTTCTCCATATGGAAAACTCTGACTACAGGCCTGTATCACGCTTTACTTGGATTGCTGTGTATCGAATTATTTTTGAGTGCCATGATGCACAAAACAAATGCCGATAAATTCAAGTTCTTCCTACTTTTAAAATGCATCTGCCATAGAATTAATTTTTAAGTTTGTATATAAAAGTATATGTCTAAGAGCGCGAATAAATAAATAAATACAATATGCAGGTTTAAAAGCGAAATTTGCCAATGAACAAGGTATATTCTCGAATAGGGTGAACTCCCGGGTGATCTGTCTTAGCAAGAGGCGAACTCTCCCAATCGCACATTCTCGGGCCTTTCCGATTGCCTAAGTTGTTTTTTCGACCTCTGACGGAAAGACCCGAGACAATGCGATTGCGAACTCTCCAGCATTCTCGCGCATGCGTAGCCTGTCGTATGCCCATGGCATCCTGTTTAACTTCGCTTATATATTTACTGCGTGGACTGCAGGGTCCACGCAACATGGTATCACGTTCAACATCTAGTGATGGCAACAGATTGGAAACTTGACACAAATCAATTCTCAACACTTTTTTCTAATTATAAAATTATTTTGACAAAAGGCTTCAAATTATTTTTGCTCAGATGCAGTAGACCTCACGGTCAGTTATGACGTTATCATTGTCTCATGTACGTAAGCATGAAAGAATAGAGCGTAATTTTAAATTTTATATGACAGAACACATATCAAATGAAAATTTAAGATATTCTATAACAAAATTATTGAAAAATTGGGGATTATATAATTATCAAGAATAAATCTGATATTCTAATAACTAATTTAGGGTATTTACGCATATGATGAACTTATAATTACTATTGAAATGGAGGATTTTGCTTCAATTTCTAAAAGGTCAACATTCATAAAAAGTAAAATTCATATTGGCCACACGCGAGTACCTCTAAGATATTTTGCATGAAGGTGCATATATGTAATATTTTCATGCATGCAAAGTTTAGGAAGGGTACTTGAGTGTGGCCACATTCAAATTTCGAAAAAAAACTGCCGTAAAATCGACGTTTTTAGGCAGTTTTTAACTCCATAGGTATATTTGTCTCTGCGCATGTGGTAAAGACGGTGACCTGTGTGCCAAAAAATTATATGTAGCGTACCATGACATTGTGCTCTACAAAATAACATATGATAGGCTTTGTGATTTCAAACTTAAATTTGTCTAAATTTTGATGGTTCGTGGCTTCAGCTCTTTGGTGGCATATTTCAAAAATCTTCTTCTCAAGAACCACTATGCGAGGAAAGATTAAACTTATGGGGAAACATCCTCAGGTAGTGTAGATTCAAGTTTGTTCATACCATGACCCCCGAAAGGTAGGGTGAGGCAAAAATGGCCGACCAAAGTTTTACATAGAAATATATAGCAAAATTCTTTAAAAATTTTCTTGTCAAATGACAAATCTTATCAAATGACAAATCCATAATTCATCATATTTATATGGAAGCATGCTCAGGTAGTGGATATTCAAGTTTGTTTAAATCATGACCCCCCGGGGGTAGGGCGGGGCCAAAATGGCCGACAACAGTTTTTAAAAATATATATAGGAAAATTCTTTAAAAATCATTTTCTAAAATATTGCAAATCCATGATTGGTCATGGGACTACTTTTGGATTTAAACTTTACAATAAAAAGCCATTTTCTACTTTTTTCTACCTTTAGTGCTCAGGTGAGCGATGTGGCCCATGGGCCTCTTGTTTGTACTGGAATGTATCACACTGATTCTGTAATATCTGTTATTTTTTTATTTATTCTATCGTCATATTGGGACAAATGTTAATAATAATATTATGAATGTCCAGGGTAAAATGAGCCAATTTTAACACAAAATTATTACTTTTGAAGTAACATTTAACGTTTATTTCATAAACCCAAACCTTTGATTTTATTTTTTGACTCATTATGCATGAACACAGATTGAACAGAGGCCATATCAATGAAGAAATATTTTAATAACACAATGTATCACATTTGATCACATCTCGTGAATGAGCAATTTAGATTTATTATCCGTTTGTTTTTGGTAAACGGTTAATTTAATTATTTCCTTGTATCTTCGCAGGGCGGAATTTTGCAATTATCGGGTGCATTTTATGGCCAATTAGAAGCGAGTTTATCTAAAGAACAAACTTTGAAAAGACTTATATCACCATACCGATATTTCGAAGTAGAATGTCCGCCAAAAAGATTGAGTCCAAAACAGCAAATTTCAATTGATCGGGTTAAGACATGTATCGCAGAAACTGTACAAAAGCTACCACATTGGGGTGAAGAAGTTCCCCTGAAATGGTTTGAACTTGAGAAAAGTCTTAACCAAAAGAAAGCAAACGGAGAAAAAGTCTTGAAGTGGTCAGAATTGAAAGACACGGCGAAAGCCTATTCTATTGACGCAGATAACCTTAACGATGTTCTCCGTTTCTTGCACGAAATAGGAAAAATCATATACTTTTCTGCTGATAAACTCAAGGATACCATTATCATTGATGTTCAGTGGTTTGTTGATGCATTCAAGTACATCATAACTGACGAAAGACATTTTGCTCGGAAAGACAACATAAACGAACTTGTTAATACTGGGAGAATAACTGGACAGTACATTGAACAAGTATGGGAAAGTATCAAAGACCTGTCTGCCAATGGCAAAAATGAAAAACATCAGGATTTCTTATGGCAATCTTATTTAAAACATAAAGATGACATTCTACTATACATGGACAAACTTGGCTTGGTGACAAGAATTGAAGCACAAGTAAGCATTACCAATGGGGAAGAGGTGTATTACATCCCGAGTATGAACCGAACCGATCTTCCTAATGACAAAAAAGATGCTATTAACCGAAAACAAAAATCAGCAATGATGGTGTACTTCTTCAAATCTTATTTACCTCATTTTTTCTTCTTTCGATTGGTGGTTAATTGTTTAAAGAAATGGGAAGTTTTCGATGAACAGTCATTTTTTAAAAATGCTGCATTTTACAAAGCAGAAGATGCTGGACATTATTTTGCCATCGCCGTCAGCAAAACATCAATCCAACTGCAAGTTTTTACGCGTGACGAAACAGTAAAAGACGGATGCGTCAAGAAAATTAGGAAAATAGTGGAGGATATGATGAAGGAAATTACAGAAACCTTTCACAAGGGAATTATATACGATATGGGTTTTTCATGCAAGGATATTAAAATCGCAGATGAAGATGAAACATTCTTTTTGAAAGAATCTGAAATAATCCAGGAGGTTAGAAATTCCATGGAGATGTCGTGCCCAAGACATTTTCTCGAGTCTAACGAACACATCATTGATACCAATAAAATACGTATGTGTTTGTTAGAGAGAAATTAGACTTTGTCTTCAAAGGAGAATTAGAACCTATTTTACAGAGCTAAAATACTTTTTTAGTTATTTAAGATAGGTTTGTGCTTCTGTACATAAAACACTATTTTTCAAGTGAAAAGAAGTGAGAAGAGATACACAAGCAAACTATATTTAGGATACTTTGGCATAACACTCGAAGCTTGCAGTGACGGATTTTCACCAGGTGAAACCTGGTGAGACATTGGAAACTTTCATATGAACGAGTTTTAAAATAATTATATGACTTTTTAGGTGCACACCATCTCTTTGTGCATATGTAAAAAGTTAATACATTACAGAAAGTTGCTTTTAAGTGTATTGTGATGTAATGTAAGTTATAATCTCTGATTTTGCAAGGTCATACTTTATGCATATTATTCCCCTACCTTCAAATAACTCTAAATTTTTATTTGGACATTTTTAAAATATATCATAACTTTGAATTAAAGAGGGATATAAGGTAAGTGTCTCAATTGGCCCCACAAAATGAATATCGTAATTTTACTTTATCTATAGCTTTAAGGATTCCCATCCCTAATGAGACGAAATTCACTGCCCTTAAATGTCAGTCAAGTACATAATACTCTTATATTAAAATAAAGTATTTTAAAAATGAAAAGGATTGACCGCAAGAAAGTTTTGAAAATTTCATTTATTAAGCAGTAGTTAATTAACAAAGATTGCATTGAAGCCTATGGGGAAAAGCATTTTTTCAAAATAAAAATTTAAATACTTTGAATATCAATAAATCCTACGGCGTAAAGATGCATCGAAACATTGAAAATAGAATGACAATTGAAAACAATTTTTTACCAGTTACAATTTTTTTAAATTGATTTTTTTTTAATTAAAAAAGGGGATATAGCTTATCAAAATTCAAGGTTGTAAACTAGGACACATCCCACTATTCAAACTAATAGTAATAAATGGGAAGTATGTCTAAATAAACTGAGTATCCAATGTCTACTTATCTGTTATGTAATTATTTAATTTCATTGAATTTGATCCAATATGGGATTGAATACCTTAATAACAGCTATATATGCAACCTTTAATGGTCATTTTCATTTTAATTAAAATGCTGTTATTTCAGAAATATGACATCATAAAAATCACCCTTTCCTGCCATTTTAGCATACTAGTATTTTGTATAAAACTGCTCATTTTCAAGCAGTTTTTCTTCCAGAATATATAGAGCGCAGCCTAGAACATGTTTTATATTTTTACCAATGTGTATCTATCCAATACTAATAAGTGACAGAAAAAATTATGTTTGTTCTACACTGCGCTCTATGTTTCCCATAAGAAAAAAAAAAACATAAAGGAAAAAGCATATTTTTGGCTTTTTTGCTAGATAGCAAAAAAAGCGTAATTTATAATAATGCTTACAGCTAGTAAGTGCATGTACGAGGGCTCTTCAATAAATAATGTCCTCGGTGCTCAGAAAGAAGCAAAAGACGCTTTTTAATGATTAAGTCTTCATGATTTTACTTGTTAATCTCTTTTAAGTAAATACATGTCCGTAATATTTTTTATCCAATTTCTGATTGTTTTTTAGAACTCATTTTTGGGTATGACCCTTAGTATACTGGAAAATGGCAGATCTTGTTATTTCCCGGACTTGTTTCTTCCCTTTGAAAGGTTTTTTTTCAAGTTTGAAAATAGAAACAAGTCAAAAGTTCAAAGATCTGGTGAATATTGTTAATGTGAAAAAACATTAACTTTCTCTTTATCCTGAAAACCCTTTACTCTTCAGGGCATGCAGGTTTGGACGTGGTCTTGATGAAATTCAATGTAGTGGATTCCTGATTCTGGGTCCTTCCTTTAATAAAAACCTTTTGATTTTTTTTCCCAAAAAAAATGCTTTTTTAGACTCCTCCAGAAATTAAACTGTCTTTCCGAATACGAATTTAAACAATAATACCACTAATTTTTAAGAAGATTACATATAAATCTGTCTTTGTGCACTTGAATACCTGTGCTCTTGTCAGACATTCGCCGTTTTTATCAAGTTGATCTCTTGGTAAATTTTGTTTTGAGGATTTTAAACAATAGATTTATATTCCAATATCTGTTTGAAAATGAAACAAACATGGATAAATAAACTTACTGATATTTTAAAATAATTTTTAAGAATTTTCGTATACGCTGTCGTTTTTACTCATTAATATAGGGTGACCTTTGAGTATCAAGCATTTTAACCGTCAAACGTTTCTTAAAAACAGTGTAAATTACACCCGATATGATGTCTATCAAATTTGCTAATATGTGTTTAAAAGTGAATCATACATCATCAAATATTATTTGTTGAAATTTGGCAACCACTACATAAGTTCTTATAATTTTTTGTTGGCAAGCAGGGTACCCATGTTTGATGCCCATTAAATATTTTTTATCATTGAAATTAACCTGCTCTTTTGTCTATAAAACAGGCGTTGGTTGCTGTAAATGTCATATATTTTAGTGAATATTTCTTTGGGATTTTTAACAAGTTTTACGGCAGCTATAATGAAGCTTTTATTTTCACTCTAGTTTACTATATAGTTCAGGATATTTTTTATTGAACAGCCCTTGTAAATGTGAAAAATATATTGGAAAAATTTCTAATGTAATCTCTTCTACAAAATCAATACCAATTAAACATGTCTGAATGTCATTCTTAAATGTTGATTTTAAGGGGGTCAAAACTGCTCTTATCAAATATACTCCTTTTGTTTGAAACAAAAACATAATTTGAGCATTAAATATATCAAAAACGTTAAAGTCTGTTTGATCAACACATAAAAGAGTAAAGGAATTTTATGCAAAATATTTATTTTGGTGAAGCATTTTAAAACACATTTCTTTATTGTAAAATATCTCCAAAACATTGTTAAAAATGTCCTTCATATGCAAATTTGTTTTCTATTTTTTATGTTTCAAATCTATCCAGAAAAACATTTTAGTTAAAAGATACAATGCTGTGTAATGATTGTTTATATTCTTAAGCCTAAAACTTGCTTTGATTCATATGTATTTGCATTTACATATATATTATCTTAAACGAAAATGTGTACTGTTCAAGGGTTCTTTGATATTGATAAGTGGAATGAGTGAGTATAAAATTTGTTTTTTATTTTATACACATATAATATCCTTTTTATGCATGTATGTAAACCTCAATATTTTGATTTAATATTGTATATTTTGTACATGTATATATACCGGCATGTAATGTATTATAACAATTTTATAGAATACCGGTATTAAATCACATTTATACACTTTGTTTGTGTGTAGTTACACAGCGGCAGGGCGGGTAATAATACTATAAACAAAATAGCGTAACGGCAGTACGTATTTCCAACATACGGATCTGGTTGAAAAACAACGATATCCGGATTAGGAATAAAAACTTGTAAATGAATCTTACTTAAATTTAATTGCATTCCATTTAAATCTAAGTATCTTGTTCACTTGTTTTGAAAGTAATGTGTAAAGGTTTCTTATATAATGAATGGGGATGGTCCAATATTATATTCACCGAATGTGAGTTCAAGGTCAGCTGTTATTTTTGTGTTTGTACACACATTTAAATATGAGTTGATATGATATTTGAGCTCTGTGGAAACGCCCTTTGAACAAATTACGTGCTTTGAAAAAAAAAATTCAAAGTGCGTTAAAATTGGGACAAAATCAACGCACTTTGTAATAATTTTTCAAAGTGTGTTAATTTTTGGGACCACCTCAACGCACTTTGAAAAAAAAACAAATTTCAAAGTGCGTTAAGAATCTACATCAATGTATTTTTCCATGGAGACACTTAACGCACTTCGAAAAAAAAATCATTTTTTAGTCATGGAAAGATTTTATTTGTTATTTGTCTTTCAAAAAACTAAGCCTAACCCTAACCTCAAAAATTAATTGATATACTCCCTTCGAAAAGAGGAGAAGACGGGTATAATTTCCCTCTGTCCAAATCTTTATCTTTTCATTACAAAGGTAACAAACGGGGAGGGGAGCAATAAACCTGAAAAGGGTACGCTGCATTTTCAATGCTTATACGATGTATATATCTTTCCAAGATACGTGTGGGGCTAAGCCCCCATCCCCCCTCCTGGCCTTACGCCCAGTCTCGATGTCTATGCTTTACTCAAAGCATTCATATAATTATGTATTTACCTAACTAGTATGACGTTGAAAACTTTCAATAATAAATAAGTTAACTAAAACAGATGGAAACTAGAAATTTTTAAGTACAGTGCAACGAATGAGAGAGAAAGAATTTTCATTTGAACAATCAAATTGGCCCCTTTTTATTATGATAAATGCTAAGTTGCTTAAAGCTCTCCTCTATTAGTGTCCCCTATACACCTTTACATCTACTTATCAAAGACTAGAATTGAAAAAAATAAGAGAATTGAATTAATGAACTTAAATAATGGTCACTTTTTTTCAAGACCCTTTATTTTCCCCTTTTATTTTATCAAATCCTGGCATATTTAAAACGTCAATATCTCAGGTACCGGTCTCACTGTGACTTTATCATAAATAAGTTATCAAACCAGGATTTTTTTTTTATCATACCGATTATTTGGAGGAATATTGATCAATGTTTATATTTTTTTCAAAGCGCATTAATATGGTCGATAATAACGCACTTAAAAAAAATAATTTTTTCAAAGTGTTTAAGGTCCAAAATTTTAAGGCACTTTGAATTTTTTTTTCAAAGTGCGTAATTTTTCAAAGTGCGTTGTAACAGAGCTCGTTTTCATCTGCTAATTGATTAACAATTACGAATAATTTTTATCAATACAGCTAAATCACAAATTTTCATAAGGGGTTATTTTTGTTGTTTTTGAGGTATGAAGAGATCCATGAATTCATGTCCACCCAAAAATATACTATGTTACAGACATAACTCAACAATTTTTACAATCACGAATTCAAATGCCCACGAACCAGGATTTTTTTTCAAACCACGGAAGTTTGACCTCACGAAAATATGTGATTTTACAGTTTTAGCATTCGGATATTAGGAAGGCCATAACATTCTTCGAATATGATTTTAAGTTTTGTAATTTAGAACAGTCGTTGCACAATGCATTGGTCTATTTGTTGTTCTTAAAGAAAAAGTCTATGTGGGAAATACTGTGCAATACCTAGCTACAGTTCATTATCAATGATTTCTGAGTAATATTTAGACTCAATATATAAACATTGACAAATGTCAGAGTAACCATTCCATTCCAGCAGATACATACTTTATTCGGTGTCAATCAAATAATCCCCTTGCATCTATACATGTAGTACATCAGATATTAGAAGATTTTTAAAGGCTTGTCCCCTTACAGTTTTATATAATGATGAATCTTCTGCAAACGTTTGATGAATAGTGAAGATTTTCTACAAATGCAGTTTATTTTCAGTAAATAACAAGCAATACAAGCAGGAAACTAAAATTAAAATACAGATTTAACGAATTGGCAATGAGACATAAATTTCGGTTAAAGTTTCATACTCCAATTTTTGTTTTGGCTACTTGAAGTAATTTCCTAGTACATATTTTTGTGAAAGCTTATGGAGCACTTCATTTAAAAATGAACATCCTCGCCAAACAATAACTGGATTTTGAGAAGTCATATTTCCTTTTTACATATAAAGTAAATGCATGAAATTGTGTCGCCTCAAACCTGTACGTTTTTGTCATTTCACGAAAATTAGCCTCTCTTTGATCGAAATGTCATCTTCCTGGAAAAGGTGGTAAATCTTGATGTCAACAAATATGCGAAGTAGATAGATCCATTTTAAAGATGCTTTTTACTCGGATGATTTAAGTGGAACATGTAGGAGCTGACAGAGGATGCCCAAACAATCTTGTTATCATTTGGACATCCTAGCTTTTTGGCATCAATTATATATTTTTTTTAAAGAATATTAAAAAAATATTTTAAGAACAATGAAAAAAGAAACGTCATTTAGATTTGTATTCAATTTAGTATATTTCAAAAATAGCATTTTTACAATATTTCGAGTTTGAATTAA